TGTCTGTTACCACTTTTTCTCAGCTCTCACCGAACGGATTTCTTTCAACGATACGTCAAAAGATGACAAATCGTATCTAGTCGAAGACATTACCCTTCAAAATTGAAAAAATGTCCCTCGTTCCCCGTAAATTGGGGAAACCTCCAAAAAAATTACAAATTTAAAAATCGCTACTTTTTCACAAAAAATTAACTTTTTCAACTTAACTTTTGAAAGTGTTCCGGAAGGTCTGACACTTTTATATATATCTTAAATTAAAGCTAATGTAATGTACTTTAATTTGAAAAAAAAAAATTTGACCTCTGGACTTGTCTTCGTGGTGAAAGTTGACATCAAAGTTAATTTTTGTGTGAAAATTTTCGATTTTATAATTTACATTTTTTACTTTAAAGTGCTATAACTTTTTAAAAAATGTATGGATCAATACAATTTTTTCATGAGAAGTAGTATTTATATACATCTTTCATTGGATATACTTTTTTTTTAAATCAGACTATTTCCCTATATATGGGGGGGCTTCAAATATAAAAAATGCATATAGAAAGTAGAACTTTTTCAACTTAACTTTTGAAAATGTTCCGGAAGGTCTGACACTTTTATATATATCTTAAATTAAAGCTTATGTAATATACTTTAATTTGAAAAAAAAAAATTTGACCTCTGGACTTGTCTTCGTGGTGAAAGTTGACATCAAAGTTAATAAAAAATTACGATTTTTTTAAAATAATTTTTTTTTATATTTTTAACTTAATAATGCTCTAACTTTTTCAAAAATGAACATATCAATATAGATGCTTGATGTCTTTACTTATGATAGTCTTTTAAATCCCCCCCTGTGAGCAGAAAAAAGGTCAAATTTACAAAAAAAATATACCAAATAATAGGTAAAGACATCAAGCATCTATAAAAAAAAAAATTATATTGATATGTTTATTTTTGAAAAAGTTACGGTAGTTTTTAGTAAAAAAAATTTCGAAAATTTCGAAAATTAGCGATTTTTAAATTTGTAATTTTTTTGGAGGTTTCCCCCATTTACGGGGAACGAGGGAAATTTTTTCAATTTTGAAGGGTAATGTCTTCGACTAGATANGACATTTTTTCAATTTTGGAGGGTAATGTCTTCGACTAGATACGATTTGTGATCTTTTGACGTATCGTTGAAAGAAATCCGTTCGGTGAGAGCTGAGAAAAAGTGGTAACAGACACAAAAAAAAA